AAAGGCTTTAAATTGTGTACAAAGAGAAAGTTTCAAAGGCAAAGTCGACTGATTTCTGTTGCATATAGCAATTCACTACAGCTACAAAGAAACTGCCAAGTTTTTTGATGAAGGGAATTACTGAAACCAATGCAGAGGACGATTAGGGGAGGGAAAATCTACCAGGCCCTGCCTCTCTGATCTTCTTCCGTAAGGTGTTAACAAAAGTAAGCTATGATGAGTTTCACCTCGTCGTTTAGAAGTTTTCAAATCGCTCCTAAGCAGTGCCATGTGCTCAAGAACAAAAAACAATCGAAAGTACCCTTTCTGGCCAAATCATTTTCACACTTACGAGGATGCGCCTTATGACAGCAGAAACTTTGCAGCTCTTACACAGTAACAGCCTCAAAATTATTTGGGCGAGGCATCTCCGAAAAAACCTCTTTTTCTTAAGCAGGTTGCGAAAACAGCGATGTTGCTTCTCTCGGGAGATCGCCAAACGGCAGTGTCGACCATGTCAAACCTCAACCAGAAATTTCAATGTCTTTCAATAAGGATGGAGCTGTATGTCAGACAGTAGGAGACTTGTGAATGGTGGTGAAATAGTACGGACCAGTTTGACCCTTTATAAAAGTGGAGTTTTAGAGCGGTCAATATTAGGGTGGTAAAGAAGAAGAAGACGATTGGAAACAGTGACGTCACATCAAAACTACAGAGAGTGCTTAAATATTTGAGTTTCAGGCAAGTTATGCAGTCCCAAGAATATTATCATTACATGGAAGGGACGGAAGTCGAGGAGCTTTGCAGGAAAAGATGCAACAAATGCTGCAATGTGTATTGGTGCGTCGGGTAGGATCCCAGACAGAACTTGGAGGTTTAAATCCATATAAGGTGTCAGGTTCTTATTGCATGAGTAATTCACTATTCTTGAGGAAAAGTTCTTTGCTTTATTTTTCTAACCTAAGAGGAAGACTTCACTTGTCACGTAAAGAGCTTAAAACTGAACTTTTTTATGGCCAATCAGCCACCTATGCAAGAGATTTATGTTAATTAAGAAAGAAGAGGCGGTAGATAGAGTCGTGTTGTAGAGCGAACAGAAAATACCTCTCAAGTCCTCGTTTTTAAAATTATACCGTTATATCAACCAAGTTTCTTTTGACACTCCCTTCTTTTGTACCTAAAAGGAATAATGTCCTTCTTCCAATCCTTCTTCATCTTTACTGTCAGAGTCATACCGCTTCACAAAAACAGAAACATAACTAGCACTATTCCTCCAAAAAGACTAGCTTTCTGTCAAGCAGTAAGCGGAAATGACGCAAAATGAGTCGACTTTGTCAAGCTGAGAATCATACAGCAGATCTGATTGCACACAGGTGCACTGCAAAGTTTCTAGACTCGGGATTAGAACTTCAGATATCGAGAACTGGAGCTATGCCACTGCGCTATGACTTCTCTATCGGATTGGCTTTTTGAGATGTATATAAGAAGTATGCTGCTGCATCAAGCTCTTGTCCCATTCCTCTACGCTGCTGTACTCTTTCCTGTTACTGCTGTGGTCTTCAGTTAAAAAAAAAGACGCACTGAAACTGCGCACTATTGACCATAGTCGCATATACCAAAATTTAGACAACTTTAAAACAGAATCCGGTGTTGTATAGCGCGCACTTTTTTATAAACTATCCGTTGCACAAATATACACTATGTTCACGAATTAGATAACTATCTGTTCTTTTTATTTAAGGGATCTAACACTTCTTTTTTACGCAACAGGGCGTAACTCTTTTCTCTTTAAACGAACGTAAAGGAAAATGCAGAGCGGTTGTACTTTTTTTGTGTATCGTATAGGTTTATACAAATGTTTAAAAAATATACTGCAAAGCCAACTTATGCCAAGTTTCTTCAACTGTACGTAGTTCCTGAAAGGTAGGCCATTAAGAAGCCCCAATACAGCGGTGCATGTAAAATAGAAACTACTAAGTGTATAGTCAGGTTAAATAAGTTCCAATCCCTTTATAAATTTCAAAAAAGAAAAAAAAAAAACAAAAAAATGATTTATTAAACAAATTTCTTTTGCCACAGAAAAATCTAAATGACCAGACAGAGGACAAAACTGGAAACAGTGTGCCCTTGCTAAAGCAAGTCAATTCTTAGAGATATTCTTACAGATATGAAACAAAACTAAAACACGTGGATATTGGTCAACTATGCTTTAACAAGGACAACTTTTTTTGAGATTATTACATAAAGGCAGAGAAAAGTAACTGAAATTTGAGATGAGGAGCAAGTAGAAAAGTAAACTATTTCTTTCTGTTTTAGATTTCCATATTCAGAAATCAAAAAATTGTACATGTAAAATCAAAATTACAAATAAAATTAAAAACGAGAGAAAAAGCTATTCAGAATTAGCAATATCAGTTTAAATAAATAATGAAATTCAGTTGAATGTACAAAAAATTAAATAAATGAAGAACAATGATAAGTTTACATTGTAAAATTTTCAGGTTTAGTACCCAATTACAGGACTGTTACAACTCATCTGAGCCGTCTTTTTCCACGGATTTGTTCCTGAGTTTGACACAAAAACCCTTGCTGATTTGCAATACAAAAATACTTTTTTTAACTTTTTTAGACAGAAGATGTCAGATAAATATGAGCTTCAATTTAAGTCTGATCAAAGATCATTAGGAACAAGTGGCTTTGTCTGGATGATCACACATACGCATTACGACATCAAAGTTCAGTCCGTCTGGGCAGGAAAACGAATAATCCTTGCCTCCAACGCATCGGTAGAACCGCGTACAATCTTCATTATCCGGATAAAAACCATCTTCCGTGCATGAGAATTCTTAAAAACTTTGTAATGTTTAAGGGAAATAAGGTATCTTTTTTAACATTTTTGTACTTTTATCACTTAAAAAAAGTTTTCTTTTGGCATGCCGGTACACGGTCATTTTTTTAAACAAATAACTCACTCTTTAACTGCTTCGTATCAGTGGTCGTCGAAGTCACAGAATCTGTAGGTATTGCAGGTAACGAACAGTTGGAAAGGTAAGGCTAAATTAGATAACAGTGATTAATCAAGTAGTTTTCTTTTGATTTTCTTGAATAATTAACTACGCCAAAAGCGTCCACATATGATAAATTCTAAAATTCTAAACGTCTTGAATTACTGTGCATTTTCAACATGGTATACGACAGTGTATATTTGTTCATTAAAAAATTGTTGCGAAGATATAACACCATTAGAGTGGTTGCATTTGTTTCTCCCCTACTTTTTATCATCCAAATAAGGTGCCCTGTAACCTTTACTATCACAAATAACTAAATAATTTGTACCTCCGTACAGTACACTAATTCTTGACTGAATTCCAGCCCTGGTGGACATTCCATTGAATAGGCGCGACCTAAAATGCAAATTTAAAAACGCCTTTTCATTTAACAACTCACACATTTTAAATAATCACTTAAAGTCTGCATTTAACAATATTTAGCAGTATTTAGATTTTATTTGTTCAAAACTGATAGACAATTGGAAGTGATAAAATAACCGTTATGACAAAGAATAAATAAGGAGCACGAATTAGGATGCTGGCAGAATCCATTTTTCTGGCCTTTACAATAGCCAACTGGTATTTCTACAGTAGGCTTGACACTAAGAGTTCCAGTTGTGATCTGTGATGGCCGCGTCGTAGACGGCAGAAATGTAGAAGGAACTTTCTGTAATATACCAAAAAAATTTTTATATTGCAACTAACTTAAATTTTGAGGGAAAAATACCTGTTGACTTTATAGTAGATTAATTATATAGGGTTAAATTAATGTGGTTTCAAGGTCGCTTTCTCAGTGCCAAAACATTAGCTATTGATAAATTTAAAATCAATATTTTCTAAAAAGTTCTCAACTGCGGAACACGTAACAGTGCTCAGTTTTATAACGGCTTGAAGAGAGTATTAATTATTACGGTTGGTATCTCAATGCCTCCTAATTCTCGCGCAATAATGTTAATCAATGGATACGCTACACCATTGCCATTTGGACACTGGCCGTTAAAGTCGTCGAAGTCTAAGGTCCACACGAAAGCTCCACCATATCCATTGCGCTTTAACCATTCAATCTGAAATTGTCAATAAAAAGCAGTTTTTTAGAGTATACCATGAGTTTTGCTAGATAAATCTCTGAGAATTAGCTTTTATAACCTCACCTAAAATAAACAGTTTAATCTAGACTGCAAATAAAGTGCAAATTAAAATGATCTTTCTTGTAAAAATCAATTAATTAGCACAGTAACCTTAACAAGAATAGACTCTTCGTCATCGTAGCTAAACCACTGATCACCTTGAACCAAATATGGACCTTGCTGCTCATCGCTCCAGTATCGCTCTGCTCCATTCGCTAGCATTTCGCATATCTAAATAAACAAAATTTTTATCAATTGGAAGGCCCTGAGATGTTCTTTTTAATATCTAGTAGACTCAAATCCACCAAATGTTTTACTCGAACTGAAAACATACTTCGTAATACGCCACTACGCCAGCTTCTCCGACATACTTTGTGGCTCTAGACGCTGTACCTGGCGCTCCCAGACCGCTGATTATTGGGTCTTTCAGAGTCCAACCTCTGCCATAAGCTGGTATCCCAATAATCAGTTTTTGAGCAGGCATGCCGTGGCTCACCCAATACCGAGCAGCAAAATCCTAAGATTGTGTTCCAATAAATTTTCATAAATTAAAAACTGTTGCATTGTCTGGTCATTAACGTACCACATTCAAGTTCTTTTGCCAATCAACTTCATCCTGTCGGCCATATAGAGGACTGTTAAATCCGGTTTCAGGCTCCCAGCCCCCGTGAAAATCGTACGACATCAGCAAAACAAAATCAAAGTATCTGAAAGTAATATGAGCTAGAAAAACTATTACAAATGAAAGGATTAATTACTGTTACAAATTTACTTTGAAATTTCTGGAATATCGTAAGCATTCTTCATTGTATTTTCCCCAGCTGATACTGCTGCAGTGATCAGAAGCGGTTCTTGACGGGTTTTTAGTGCTTCACTTTCTACGGCTTGCCGTAATTCCTAAACAGCGCAAGATTCTGTACTAGTTTGTTAATGATCTAAGGATTTTTCTTGTTACTTACAAAACTTTTTTTTAAAAGGTAAACCAAATAGATCAAATGACGCACAATTAACTAAAGTTTGCAAGCAGTTTTTTTCCAAATTGGAAGTTAAAACGCAAAAAATTCTAAGATCTTCATAGAAAAATTAAATAACTGTAAAAAATTTCTAATCATTGAAATCGGATAACCTTTCAAAGATAAAAAATGTTTGTTTTTCGCTTTGCTTTTAATAATCTTTTAACAAATTCGTGTTTGTTTAAACAAACAAAAGCCGAAATAATAATCACTGCAATTTTTAAAGGCCATAATTTAGCTTACTTTTATCAACAACGAATAATTGATCCGATCGTCTTTGGTTTGTGGATATTCCCAGTCAATGTCAATTCCATCAAAATTATGAAGCCGAACGAACGATATTGCTGAATGAATAAAAACCGCTCTTCCGTACGAAGTTTCAGCCATTTGCTTAATAAAACTTGTAAGAAGCTAGTACAATTTAAAGAGCTCTTCCTCTGCTGCTTTTTGCTAGGTGTTTAGAGTTTTTCTTAAAAGACACAAATACTGCGTTACCTGAAACAAACGTATACCAAAAGTCCATCCACCAAAAGAAAGTAATGTCTTCAAATTTCTGTCGATCAATTTCAACTTATTTATTCTAGCATATATTCCTTCACCAGCCCAACTGTTTGGTAAATCAGCTGGATCGTAGGCGCTAAAAAACTATAAAATTAGAGACAATTTGTTTATACTTTTTTTAATCAAATAACCACTAAAATCAAAGCCGAAAAAGTCTGGTCTAGTAAAAATAGCACCGCTAAAAAAATAGAAAAGAAAAACATAAATCTTTTATCAACAAAATTACTTTCCTCTCAATTTGATTAAAAAAAAAAATAATTTCTGGCTTTATTTACTGTCTTTTAAAATTGTTTATCCTAAATATTACATTTACCGAACAGTGAAATTTTCGTTCATCCATCCAAATGCAACAAGTATATGCGTACAAAGACCAGGTACATAATCTTCTGGAACGTATTTACCTCTGCCTTAAAATTTTTCATAATTATTCCAGTTTTTTATTTGTTGCTGCTTTATTTTTGTTTCATTTATACTAAAGTTTTAGTTCTATTAACCACGTTAGACGCCAAAACCATTTTATTTTTATTCACAAGATCAAAATGTGTAACTTTTATATGTATTAGCACATAAAAAGAACAGGTGTTGTTACCAGAAATCAATTCACAATTAACTTCTACTAAAAATACTGCTTACCTTGACGATACTGTGCCCAGTTAGTGAAGTAACAGGGTCGAATATAATTTTTAGACAACGAAGTATGTCGTTTACTGTTATCTAAATATATGCATAACAGTTACTATAAATTGAAGTTTAACACTCAAAATACGTGTTACCGTTCTGTTACTCAACAGTTGAAACAAATTTTTAATATTAACAAAAAAAAAATTGTACAAAAAGTAATAGTTACTTGTGCATTCATCGATATCTTCATAAGTAGCTGTTGTACCATAAACGGTTGCAAAATGAACGACGAAGAAGAATGGCAGTAGATGCAGAAACAGACTAGACTCCATTATTGCGCAAAAACTGAATAACTTGTTCTTTCGTCTTTTTTTTTTTTTTTTTTTTTTTTTTTTTTT